TGTCAACTTCAAAGAATACACAGGAGGTAACCCTTACATCAAAGTCAATATTTTTTCCATCAATACAGTAGTTTTAGCTGCTTTCTTATTAAGCCATGTGAGAATTGATTAGTTCATCTCTCGGGTCTTCGGGTTTGAGTCGTTCGTTCATCACGTGACAGCCCCATAAGTTTAACCAATGCAGTGTGAGCCGGAAAGAGAATTGATTAGTTCATCTCTTGAAGACTTGTCAGATAAGAGGTGAGGTGAGCTAATCATAGACTGAAGACCCAGGTAAACAATGAATTAATCTTTTCTGTTTCTTATAGCAGTTTTTTATTGTTTGTAGTGTGATCAACGTTTGCGTAAGTAGTAGACGTATTAGGGAAGTAACGTAACATTTGAATTACATTTTGCTAAAATTAACGAAATGACTCGAAAAAAGATTCGTTCATTTTGCTGAACGAGACTTAAAGGTCCGAGTCGGTAAAATGATCCGAACTTCCCATCACTAGTGAGAACTACCCAGTGCTGAAACGGGGGGTTTCATGACCCTTTAATAGACAGAACATTGAAGGGCACTTCCCATCCAATATATCGCAATAAGCATTGTGCTTTGGTAATTTTAATATGAAACAAAGTCTCAGATTCCAAATTCTGTCCATTGTATTTCAGTATTCAAACAATAAATGCCATTTTGGCGCTGTTTAATGTGGAGGAAGGAAGTCAAGTGATGTCATCAGTGTGATTTTTATTTCAAAATAAAAGATTTTTGTTAAACGGTAAACACCAGTGACACAACTCCAGGGGACCACTACTTTCATTATATATTTTATAATATTTATTTGGCATTTTGTTTTTTTATGTCATTTACATCATATATTTGATAGTTATGAATACATCATTGTATTTTAAATGGTAGGTTTTTGACCTCAAAATAAAGCACTTTTCCTCTGTACATGGCTGTGGGGACGAGCAGTTTTGTGGTGCTTGGAATTTTTTATAATTAATTAAAAATAAATATTGCCACATTGATGGCTCAAGAGGGTGTAATTGTTCAAATAACACATTGTTTTATTTTAAAATATAAAAAAATTGTAACACTAAATTGTTTTTCAAGTGTAATATTTCTGTAAAGGCTAGGGACAGAAAAGTGGACGTTTCCATAGAATGACCCAAATACATGACTGTTGTGAATCCCGATGAGCAGCCGTGCGTGTGTGTGTGTGTGTGTGTGTGAACTCATGCGAGCCGCAGGAGCATCAGTGAACGCTAGGCCTGTCACCGCAGTTTGCAGCACACTGTCCTCAAGCATCTGAACAACAGCGGCTGAGCTCCCACCAGCACAACAAACACTGAAAACACCCTGATCTCTGAGCTGCTTCCTTGCTTGATTAGCAAACTGCTTCGCCAGGCTGCTGTAAACAAGTTAATACTGCATGAACATAGATGTTTCTGTAAGTCAGAGCACATCCACTCTTGTTTTTCTTCTCTTCTTCTTCTGTGGGTTTGTTGACGGGTTGTAAACCAGCATTTGGATGCATACCGCCACCTCCTGTGCTGGAGTGTGAAGTGGTTTCAGTCTAGGTTTTAATACAGCCTTAAAGGGATAGTTCACTCAAAAATGAAAATGTGATGTTTATCTGCTTACCCCCAGGGCATCCAAGATGCCCTGGAGGTAAGCAGATAAACATCACATTTTCATTTTTGGGTGAACTATCCCTTTAATCGCTTTCTTGGTTCTTGTTTTGAATTTGACATATTTCATACTGTAAATTGTTTCCATACTATAGTCTGTGGGTCTCTTTGGAGCTCATTCCTTTTCTGTCCATCATAGCTGGGACAAAATAACAGCGCATAATCAACTGTTTCTTGACATAATCCACATTATCATATATGCTATGAGGTGTATAATGAAGTTTTGTATGATTCATCCATAATCTTGTTAAAATTATCTGATCTTCTCTTCTTATGTTTTGTGAGAGTCCACTCTGTTTTACTTCCGCATTACGTGCGTCTTTGGGTCACGTGACTGTTGTGGATGGACCTTTTCCTTGGCTCTGTTTTTCCTTTTTTCCGGGTTTCTCAGCAGTGGAAGTCGTCATAGTTGGGTTAACTTTGAGAGCAATGAATAGGAGAGTACCACAAATATATATTTTTTGCATTCCCATTTGCTCAAATAGCAAAAGAAAAACTCCACAATAGTGTTTTCATGACAAAAAGAATGTCAAATTAATGAAATAGTAAAAAAAAAATTGAGAGAATACTCAATTACTCAAACTAGACTGATAAAGGCAGTCAGAAGATAGTCAATTAGCATTAACTATTTTTATTTATTAATTTTTTTTGGTAATTTGATGCAAAGGTGATATAATACAAAGTACAGTGTTACATGTATTTACAAAAAATCTAAATATAAAAAAACTTTGAGGATTTGTGATGCTGATTTGTTTACATCTCTGACTGCCTTAAAGGGATAGTTCACCCAAAAACGAAAATGTGATGTTTATCTGCTTACCCCCGAGGCATCCAAGATGCAGGTGACTTTGTTTTTTCAGTAGAACACAAACGAAGATTTTTAACTCAAACTCAAAGTCTGTCAGTCATATAATGGCAGTCAATGGGCTCCACGGCTTTGAGAGTAAAAAAAAAAACATACAGAGACAAAACCAATTTAAACCCTGCGGCTCGTGACGACACATTGAGGTCTTAAGACACGAAACGATCGGTCTGTGCAAGAAACTGAACAGTATTTATATAATTTTTTTACCTCTGATCCACCGCAATGTCCACAACTGTCCTGAGCGCGTTCACAACACCCAGCGCGTGACGCGTGTATGTGCTCTGGCATAGTAGACGCATGAGCGGAAGCGATCTATCGCGCGTATACATCACTCATTGGATGTTGTGAAACATTCTGACCTCAACACACTAATAGACCGTTACCATCGACTGGAGCAGATTCTTTGACAGTCAGAGAGGAGCACACACCTAATGACTGAGTCAGTCTACACACTTAAGGACTGGCGCGTCACGACTGGACAAATTCTGCCGAACCAAAAACAAACAAAACAAAAAAACAACTCACAAAAACCGCAGCGAGCTCCCACAGCTGCTCCCGCCCCACTAAAGACAACACTGCGGACAACACGGTGCTTTTAGCT